TGGATTGATTTATGTTTTTTAGAAATGCAAACCTCGGATAAAGGAACTCCTCCTGCCGTCACAAACTCATCTTTGTATTGGCCCTTTTGCAGCAACATAACAAAACACAATGTCGTCATCATTATCATCTTGAGTAGTATGATACAATCTGATAAGTTTCATGTTATACCTTTCCAGTGACTTGAAATGTACAATGTTTAAGCAGATCGGAAATAGAGGTCATAGAGTTATTTGACAATGAAGCCCACAAGGTGTCTTTTGAAGAACCCTGCTGGATCATGAAGACAGTCAAGGACATTCACATAATATTAAAAGGTTTACAATATCGAAAAGCTATGAATGATGGTTTGGTAAGAACCTCGCGGTCTAGAATGTATCTCCAGAATCTATTAACAAGACCAAACTGAGGAGGAAAGGAATTGGATACCTTATGCTTCTGCATTAAACAATGCTCAAACTTTATAACCAAAGACAAGAAACAAAGAAATCAAAAGAGTAAAAAACATGAAATGGTGTTACTGAAAACTGCAACTTGTGTTGTTTGAGTACAGATTTAGCAGTTTCGATGTTAATATCTGGTATGAAGTCTACGATAAGGACCCCTGCAGCCAAACCAAGAATATATTTAACTTCCTCGAGTTAACAGCAACAAAAATTATCTCGTTGGATATGGAAGATTGGAACCTTTGTACTCTGATGTGAAGAGATGGCGTGCACCCCATGCAGAGAGACGGAGAATAACCGGTCCACTAAGTCCCCAATGTGTCACAAGCATTGGACCAATCTTAAAAAAAACACGTAGCTTTGAACATATCCGCATGATAAAGAATCTTAAACAAATGAGGAATAGCAAGGGGAAGACAAATGCACACCTGCGAAAGGTTTGACAAATCTGGGCGTGTATTTTCTAGTTTCAGCTTTGCTTGGACTTTAGAGAAACTAATCTGAGCAAGGGAATTAGACAAGGTCAAATATGAAGCTCGTAAAAGTGTTTTCGTGCTTAGGCAATTTTAGTAATATAGGAGAATTTACCCCTGCTAACTCGATCAGCAATGGATCATTGATCTTAAAAGTGAATAAGCTCGGTACTGGGTCGACAATGGAATGGCCAAATTGAGTGGCTAAAGAGTAACCCTGTAACATAATTAAACAAATCTTAGGAAAACATGATAACATTATTATAAAACAGCTTTGAAAAAACATAATTCATAAATGAGACATTATAACCTGTTGGCTACTTCCAGTAGCAATAAGAAGATACGAAGCTTCGATAGATTCAGACGTGTCAGCACTTCGCTTCCCAACTTCAATAAGGAACTTACCATCGGGTTTAGTAGAAGCATTTAACACAGACTTTCCTCTCTCAAGCCTAACTGATTCAGGAAATTGAGTGGATAAATGAATGATCATACACAGAAAGTAGAATTTCAAGAGATGTGTTATAATACCTCCCCTAATATTTGCTTCATTTAAGAGACAATCAACTACAGACGATGAGTTATCGCTGACGGGGAATACTCTTCCGTCGTCTTCAATCTGTTGGATACTAGAGTTAGGCCAAAATGCGGACTAAGACAATCACTCTGGAAAATTAAATGAATGGAAAGTCACAACCTTTAGTGGCACTCCATGCTCAGAAAACCATGACATGGTATCCGCAGGTCCATGCATGTAGAAAAAAGAACCTTTAAGCTCTCTATTACCGCGAGGATAATTCTCCGCCAATCTCTACACACCAATTTAGTAACTATGTTAACAATATCTCAAATCAAGCGAAACAGTATCGATGAAACTTTCTGTCTATACAACTCTCACAACACAACAGTGTCATTGCAATGCTCTGCCAATCTCTACATGCAAATTTGATATTAAGTTAACAAAAACACAAATCAAGTTAAACCGACATGCTTCCCACAAGATTTAAAGACAAAAACTAGAAGAAAGTTTCATGATTTATCAATTTCTAGGGATAAAGTTTGAAGCTTTCTATGTGAACAACACTCACAATAGTATCGTTATAATGCTCTGTCAATCTCTATATACAAATCTGATACAAAAATCAAGCTAAACATAATATGCTTTATGAATCTGCAATTTTGAGGCATAAAGTTTAAAGCTTCCTCTGTCAAAATAGACACTCACAATCGTATCGGTGCAATGCCCATTTGTCACATTACATCGACCACCACCGGAAATCTTCACCTGTGAATTGCAAACAAATGAACAAACAAAACTCAAATTTTTTCCCGAATTGAGTTATAGTTAATGGAAAAAAGGAAACTACTAACCTTAGAAAGAAATCTCCCTTTTTCGATAACCAAAACTCTTAAATCAGGTGCAAGAGTTTTAGCCCTAATAGCTCCATAAACTCCAGCTGCTCCACCACCAACAACAACCAAAACCTCATTCTCATCTTTTTTCACCTTTTTCAATTTTCATCAAGAACCCAACAATTTTCAGACAAAGAAACCCAAAGAATCGAGATTGCTATAACTAACTAAATCGAAACTGACCTTGTCGGATAAATTGTTTATAGCAGAAGCTGTGAATATTCTCCTTGTCCTATTTGCTCTACATAACAAAGATTTTACAGGAACCCAGAAAGGATTTGCTAAATTCAAGTTCATTACCCACTCAAATTTTCGAACGTTTTCTCTCACTTGGTCCTAATTATCGATTGGAGATTCGTGTTTACAATTTTGTTTTAAATTCATGAGCAAAATAAACCCCAACCCAGAAAACTACCCGTTAAACCCTTCAGTTCTCAGTTTCAGATCAACGGTGGTGATGAATCGGGTGCGCGTTTCGGTTTTCCGGGTTTCTTCGGTTTTCCGGTTTATCGGTTTTACAAAAACTCAAATCATATAGAAACCGTTTGTAT